GTGTGTGTGTGTGTGTGTGTGTATACATACGAGAGAGAGACTACCTCAAAGAATTTTAAATTTAGATGTTTGGCTACAACATCAAGGGCAGCAGAGGTAGGCATGCTCCTACAAGTGGAAAACGTCAAAAGATGATAATAAAGAATATCTGGGCATGAAAATATATATCCAAAAGACAGACATTTTATAAAAACTCAAGAACATATAATTCCAATTGTGAAATCCACAAATACTCTAGGCCATGAACAAAAAACTTCTAACAAACATATGTAGTTCTGAAATGAATAGACTGCAAGCAAAGCAGCATAATAAAGTACCTGGCAACTCCCTTCAGACCAGTTTTGAAGTAAGGTATGGCTTCAACTGCATTTGCAGCAATGATGGCTACAGAATCCGAAGGGGTAACAAAAAACCTAATAAAACAAGACAAGTTAAGAGTGCAAGTTAAAGACAAGATTAGAATTACAATCACAATTCTGATGCTACCTTTTACCGAGGACCATGTTACGATCTGCATCACCATCAGCAGCAGCACCAAACTCTGGGGGCTCATCTGCAGTATTTGATTTGCTCAGTCCCATACGTGCAACCAACTCCTTTGCATAGGTCAGATTAGGATCTGGATGCCCTCCTCCAAAGTCTTCCTGTTTGCATGAAGTCAATCACAAGAGAAACAGGTGAACCAAATGAATAAAATCACTTTAAAAAGCATTTATTAAACCATGAAAAAAACCTTTTCCAGAATATAGAAATACCTTGGGTACACAATTCAGTAATGAGCTTTCTTTTGCGCCAAGCTCTTCCACAAAAATACGTTTTGCATAAGCTCCAGCAACTCCATGTAGTGCATCATAACTTTAACATGACAACAGAGATAAGTCATACCACCATTGATACCATGTGTGTGCCCTAAAAGAATTATTGCATTAAAGAAAATGCAATTCAGCAGCTATCTACATACCAGAATGAGAATTTTGGAGATGATAGCAGCTTCCGGATAGACTCAAAATCAAAGATTGACCTGGAATGAGAATTCAAGTCAAATGAACACTGTCCTGATATTAAGCTGATAACATCATATTGATCACAAAACTGTAACCAAAGTCACAGAGGAAGATTCCTCTCAGAGATAAGCTTACTTCATCAATTTCACATAATCACTCGCCGAATCAAAAACATCAACATCAAAAGTCCCTCCTTCCACAGAAAAGGTGGTCACACCTACTTTAGTGATATCCACCTGTCACTACATTGGAAGTTCTGTTATTACAATATATGGAACTCAAAGGACAGCAATCTTGTAATAAGATTTAAAGCAAATAAAAAAAAATATGGAGCTTAGATTTGATTGATTACATCAGGCAGGTCAACTGTAAAGTACTCCTTTATTTTTGTTGTGTTCTCATATATCTTGTCAGTGATTGACTCGGGGGCAGGTCCACCATTTCCCATGTTGTATTTAATCCCAAAATCCTGAAATACGGACACGAAAAAGAGGATAAGTTCCCAATCAGTATCAAGTAACAAAGTGTCGGCTCTGCCAATTGTTTGAACATATTATAATTGTTTCAATTATTTTCAAACAAACTTATTGTTGGCTATCCTAATTCCAAACAAACTTAATGTTTCATATTATTCCACTTCCAAGAAATATGTTACCATCCATCTCTTTGCAGCATCTGAGAATTCCCGAAATTTCCTAATCATAGTTTATAACAAAAGTTTACTGATGTAGGCATCACTAACCTCATTCGGGCCACCTGGATTGTGACTGGCGGTCAATATAAATGCACCTGATGACCTTGATCCCTGGATTAAAAATTACAGACAGGTGAAGCAGTTCACAACCAAAAATATTAATAGCGATGATGATTATAATAAGGGCTAGATCTTAATTCACTATAACTTACATCTGCACCAACTCTTTCACGTACGACTGCTGATACAGCAGGAGTTGAAAGCAACCCATTCTGACCGACCCAAACACTTCTTACTCCATTGCCTGCTGCCATCTTAATTATGATCTGTAATGGAAAAAACATAGTATAAATAGAAGACATTATTATTCTCATTACAAGTTATATTAGAAGAAGCAATAAACCCTTGACTCCCCCACCAAAAAACAAAGGGGTTCTAGCTGGCTCAAGGGGGAGGCCCTTCACAAGCCCAATTGTTGTCAATAGCAACAAAAAGGTAGGCAGATCCAAACAACATTTTCGGTTTCCTTCTTTAGACAGTACAAATTATATATACCATCACAAAAAAAAAAAAAAAAAAAAAAAAAAAAAAAAAATTGCATTCAGAAATATCATGGAATGCAAAATCACCTGAATGGCATCCTTTGAGAAATAGCGACCATCACCAGATACAATAATTCTGGCACCTAGAAGAAGAAAAAAAAAATGATAAGTTAATGAAACATTCTAAAACAACAAAAACACTTGAAACTAAGTCAACAAAATATTACACATAGGAACGGGGAGTTCAGCATGAGGGATAATGTATTGCTTTTGGCCAAGTGAGGAATTATATCTTAAGAATTGGGTGAAAAAAAAAATTTAATTCCACATTATTTTAAAATAGCTTTCTGTTCACCCTTATTTTTAACTCTATACAAAGCGGCCACCAACGTTGTTGCAGCCTTGACACCATCACCTCTAACATTGGAGCCTTGCATTTAATCTAACTTAAATTCCATACCGTTCAATTTTGCACATACATAAAGCCTCATTTCACTGTTTTATCACATAACAAAATTATGTGTCTAAATGGCATCTACAAGTAGACGATAAAGTGTAACTCAGTAGAATCGAACACAACAAAATGAGTATTATCTGCATAAACTGACTTGGAAGTTCAAATGCAAGAATGCAAATGAAGACAATTCACTCCATTTTGTTCATCAAGAGAAAAAAGATCGACGAAAATAGCATGACTTAGTAATCCCTACCTTTAACTTGATCCGATGGAAGGGCATTGAATGTTGACTGAACAAAATTTTGCAAGTAATGAGGTTGCGTAAAGACTTTCACCTGAAAAGTTCCAGCCACCATAATATGAAGATAAATAAGGAAAAGTCAAAACAGTAATCTCAGTTGTGTATTTTAGCTTAAGAAAACAGGCGTACATTTTCTAACAGCCAATCTCTAGTCTACCGAAAATCATATCGAATTTCCACCGAAGCAATCACCAACACAGAGTGTCTATTAGAATTAAACCAGTTTAACTAAGATGTAATTAGTTCATAAACTTCTGGAGTCCTGTTCTGCACTATAAATAAGACCTAATTAGCTTAGAAAGATCTAAAGATCGGATCAACGGATCAAACGGATCAAACGGATCGATTTGATCGAACAGAGATCAAACCTAAACAATTTCAATTTCATACACCGATCAATGATCTGGAAATAGCAAAACATCGGAAAACAATGCAAGAATTCACCAAATCGAACAGCGAAAAACTGATCGCAGCAAACAGAGTTTAAGAATTGCTCGAACGCAACAGATCCAGCATTCATACAAACGAGATCACGATTTGAAAAAAAAAAGTGAGAGAGACAGAGAGGCGAACCTTCTTGCGGAGGCCAGAGGTTCCGGGCTTCTGGCCATCGAACGGCGTCGTCTCCACCTTCTTAACCTTCCCCGACGACATTCTGCTCGCTGAGAACGAACCGCGATTCAAATCACAGAGAACGAGAGACGTAGAGAGAGAAATTTATAACGGAATTTGAAGGTGGCGATGTTGGTACGGTTTACGCTTAGGCGAGTGAGTGAGACGTAAAAGAGGTGCGTTGAAGACTGGCCAACAGGATTCTCTGCGGTTCTTTTGTTTGGATTACGTAAATTCGTGAATTATATTCGTTTATCAATATTAATATGCTCAATTTTTATTGATTACTGTTTATATTTATTTTTAATAAAATATTTAAAATAAATTTTAATCATATGACATACGAACGAATACAATTCATAAATTCTTGAAATCCTTATAAAGAGAATCTGACAAATATTCGGACACGAAAACTGGAGGGTGAACCGGAAGATGGAAACGGACGAAGTTTGTCCGAATCCTGTAAAAATATTCCCCACGTGGCACGTTACGCACGTATTCTTATTATTTTTGGCCGTTGATCTTTGTTCCACTTTTACCGGCTGTCCGTTGATATTCACCCGCGTGTTTTGTGAGACCAAGAAAGAGCGATTCCCACGGTTTGTGTTTTTACTTCACTACCCCGTCGATTGAGCGCTAAATATTTTTTATTTGCAACCCAAGTCCCCCAACTTCCGGTTTTCTCCTTCCATTCCACATATTTATTTATTCCATGTTATTTTTCCTCATTGTTTGAAGAAATATTTTAGGATTTGTTTCATAACAAATTTCGTTTATGGCCCATTTAATAACTAATTATTTCAGTTTTATGTTTCTTTAATTTTTATTCACTCTAATTGTAAGTGAAACGTGTCACTTACTACTACATTCTAGTAATATTTCTCTTCACTTGTAAGTGAGAGGTCTTAGATTGGATTTTGTCCAAAAGCAAATTTAAAATACATTATTGTTAGCCCATTATGAGGCTAAGCTCACCATCTCCTCCTTAGTATAGATAATATCGTTTGTTCAAAAAAAATATATTGTAAGTGAAACGTCATAAGTTTAACTCTCGTGAATCTTGAGTTTAATACCAAATTGACAAACCTATATGCGGCTTTCCCAAATTCCCTGTCTTTTAATAAAAATGCAAGTGAATTCTAAAAAAATATTTTGAATACTTTTACACAAGCCAATAGTCATTTTCATTGCAACTGTCCATTCAAATTGCGTATCTTTGTCCACGCAAGGACAAGAACTATTAACAGAACATCACTTGATCTATTTTAGTGACATGTAGTCGTTGGGTCATCTCATTTAGTAAAAATGTTTTTGGTCACTTCGGAAAGATCTCCGGATCTCGCTTCAAAGCCCAGATATCGTGTGATTCGGCCTTTAAAATTTTGATTCAACAGCTAAAAACAGAGAAGTTAGTAAAAACTTTTAAAAATTATAATAATTTTTAGCCATTAAATCAAATTTTTAAAGACCTGTATCACTTGATTCCTGGGTTTTCTCTCCAGTTACTTCATCCATTTTAGACCACTAGCAAGATAAAATATATCAACCATTGTAAATATTTTAAAGTTCACATCTGCTAATTGATTGTGCGGTATATAAGTTTATAACTGTAAAAATTTTGAGTAATATGTACTTATCTAGTAAATCAATGATTTTTCAGTAACAATATTAGCCAAAGTAAGATTTCTTTTTCTTTTTTTTTTTTGGTTTCCTTTCTTTTTCAAACATGTTAACAGTTTACTTACTTGAATCGAAAGAAATCACAAATGTATTCGTTTCTTTCCGACGCTCATTTCACTCATTTTTTTTCATTTCTTGTGTGTCGATAATTATATGCCAAAATATGAGCAAGGCTGATACCTTACATATTCAGATTAATCAACATGCATTCGTTTCGGCCCAAAGTCAAGAATTTTACATGAAAGATTAAAAATGGACAGAATTCTCAGGCGTGCAATCCAAAAGGCGAATATGTTGGTATTTTAATCCACAACAACATCTGTAAAGACTTCCTACACTTTTTCAAACTGAAGAAAGAATCAATTGTTACCACCAAACCTTATTTTTGCACCAACGCATCAGGCCCTTTATTTATTTTTCACCATCAATGTTTTACCCAATCGAGACCAAACTTGATGCAACAGAAAAATTGTTCATTTATGATCAAAAGATTAAGCATTTGAATTACGAAAAACAATCTCTTTACAAAACAAGAGTAAAACTGCATACGACAGACATTTCTCTCGATCCTCATAAAGCAAATAAAAGATTAAACATTTAAATTGTGAAAATAACATCTTTAAAAATGAAATGTAAGATTATGTACGACAAACATTTTTCTCGATTCTCGTAAAGCAAAAAACCTTGATGATGATCACAAAGTAAGAAACCTTGTGATTTAACCATATTCAAGCAAACAAACCAACCACATTGCAGCACGTTGAAAAAAAGGTCGAAAAAGCGTTAAGGGAGCGAAAGTATGGAGTTTAAAAGAAGAGAAACATAAAAAGCGAAAAAGTAATCAGGATCAGTCTGGTTTTAAATTCAACCCCCTTTTTTTTTACCTAGAGAGAGGCAAAAGGCAGAAAAGCCCAAGAAGCCGCTGAACAATTTACATGGTGGATTACAGTCGCATTACAACCTCACAACAGCGACCCTCCACCCACATACCCCAACTTGAAAACAAAGATTAAATAAAAAATTAAGAAAAGAAGCTAATTAAATCATCAATTAGCCGAAAGCTAGATTCTAAACATACTAATTAAAATTAAATTAAAACTAGCACACTCTCTCTCCCTCTCTCACTGTCTGAGCTATGGCTCAACAACCGACCGGGGCCACGGCGGTCTGTTTCACCTTCGGCGGCCTTCCTCTGCCTCTCGGCGCGCCGGTTGCCGTAGCTGGGGTGGGAACTGAAACCGGAGCAGAAGACGGTGTCGTTTTGGCCTTCTTGGGAGGGCGGCCACGTGGCCTTCCAGTTCCGGAATGTGTCTTGGGCTGAGGTGGCGGTGCGAAGGGGTCCCTGGGCTTGGGGGGCCTGCCACGTGGCCTGGGCGGGGAGGAGACAGTGCCAGCTGGGACTGGGGTCTTGGCCTTGGGAGGACGGCCGCGGCCCCTCTTGGGCGGCGCGTTGGGGTCGGGCTTCATGTAGTTGTTCTTGACCAGGACGAGCTCGCCGGTGTCCTTCATCTTGTTGAGGTGGTGCGCGAGGAGGGCCACGTGAGATTCCGGCAGATCTCCGTACGTTGACTCGATGTGCTTCGCGATTGCGGACTTGCTTGACCCGTTGCTGTCGTTCAGGGCCTCGATTGCCGCCATAATCATCTGATGGACAGAAAAATCAGTAAAATTAGCAAAACCCAGCTGAAATTAAGCTGAATTAAAAGGGAAAACCTGTTTGGATGCCGAGAAAAGAAAATGAAGGAAAATTGTGGACCTCTGGGTACTGGGGGAGAGAGGGAACTGGCGGCGGCGGTACTAGTGGATTGTTGGAGTTCTCCGTCGCCATGGGAGCTTCCTCACTAGAATCTGACTGAGAGATGGGGACTGTTAACCGTTTTCTAGAGAGAGAAAGCGAAACCGTTTTCTAGAGAGAGAGAGACTGTTTGTTTGGTGGGAAGTTCAGTCAGGCAGAGCGGATGAGGAAAGAAGGTGAGGATTTAAAAGGTTGGTTTTCCTTTGACGACAGGAAGGGAAATAGGGAGGGGGATGGAGAAGAGAGATCCGACGGTCAGGGATCGCGAGTTTGTGTTGCGATCCGACGGTGAAGGACCCTTTAGCGGTGGTCACATGGATCGATAACGTGGACGAAGGACTCAACTGGGGGAAATGACATAAAAGTCCCTCAATTTAAAATCTTGCCTTGTCCGAAGCGCTTCGAATAATTCGAGTAGGAGGATTGAATAGGGTTTCTGATGTATTTTACCTTCGCTAGGCGCAGAGGCTGATTGGCCGAAACGGTGAAAGAGGGTAAAATGGTAAAATAATTGACCAGTAGGATGGTGACATGACATCAAAGGCCATACAGAGCGGCAAGCCTTGATTCTTTGGGGATTCAAAAATGAGTCGTCTCTCAGATCCAGCATCCAAGTGCGGAGTGCGAGGCCCGCTTTAGAAACTGGAGGTTTGGGTCATGTGTGGTCCCCACACCATAATATTAGAACACAGCGGGTGACGAGGATTCTCTTCAGATTTTCTTTGTCGATGTTTGTTTATTATATATCGTACGGTTCGTTTTTATTAACTAGTATTTACATTTAATTTTAAATAAAATAATTTAAAATAATTTTTAAACGTATGATATTCGATAAACTAACATGATTAATTGATTTTTCGAAGCCCCACAAAAAGAATCCCGAGATGACCCTATTCCCACAAGGGGATATGTATCTATACAGCTAGCGACCATTTGTTCCGTACCTAGGATGAGCATCCTTTCAAGAGAAATCGAATGGTTGGCGAGCTTGGGGTTGACTGGTGGAATCAGATGGTCTCTCAACTTTTGAATCGGGTTGACTAAACGCATGTGGCAATTTGTTTTTTTATTGTTTTATTTTTATTCTTTTTAATTTTAGGTTTTTTTAGTTACTTAGTATTTTTATTTAGTGATATTTATTTTTATTTTTGAATGAGAAATATTAAATTTGATTAGCGTCCAAGGTAAATTTAAATTACATTATTACTAACTTATTGTGAAGCTAAGCGTTCATATCTTCGTCTTAGTGTATATAATATCGTTTGTTAAAATAAAAAATAGTTTTTTTAGATATTATTACGTCTTAGTGTATATATAATTACGTTATCTGGTGGGAGACGAACTAGAATTCTCTTCCTTCCTATTTTATATCCTTCCCTCTCCTCCTCACACTCCATTTTATTTTTCTTTAAAAAAAATTAACACAAAATGTTGACATAATTCACCGTTAACCGTTTGAATAAAAAAAGAGAAAAAAAAAGTGGATAGAATCCTAATTCTTGAGGGAGGTGGATTGTCTGCCCTCCCATTTCCATACTATTTTCATCTCCTCCTGTTTGTGTGGTCACGGTTAAGCCACGTCAACATTTTATATTGATTTTTTTATAAAAATAATAAAACAAAAAGTAATAAGAATATAAAATGTTGAAATGACTTAACTGTGACCACACAAACATGAAGGAATATGAAGAGTATGAAAATGGAAGGGCAACACAATCAGAAGAGAATATGAATAGTATAAAAATGAAAGGGCTCCACCTCCCAATAGACCATGCTGGACCAGGATCCTGGACGTTCATTTTTTATCCAACGGCTACAAACACGAAACCCCTCTAAAAGTTATAATAATTATAACCGTTGGATAAAAAATTAACGGTCCGATGGACCTAGTCAGGAGAATCCTCTCCATCTGCTCAGGAGAGGATCCTGATCTACGCTATGGTACCACATTCACAACAATGTTGGTGGTGATGGTGTTGGTGTTGGTGATGGGTGATGGATGCTTTGACTAGTGGGGTCCACCATCCTCTCTTGCCGGCCTTGGGTAAAATACGAATGGATTACGTTCAATTCTTTGTCTGCTCAAAAATGTATATGCATTATTTACTGTTTTACTAATTCACGTAGACCTGTCAGTTGCAAAGTGCAATGTACTGACTTTTCTCATGAGCGACCGAGTTTGGTGTGCACACGTGTCGGATATCAAAGTGCCTCTCCATACGTAGTTGACACGTCACCGTCTCACTCATTATGCCAATGGAGTGAGGATTCTCGTCCGAGGATCTTGAAGTTTCTATTTTTCGTTAAGTACTGTTTATATTCAATTTTAAATAAAAAAATTTACAATAATTTCTAATCGCAAAATGTACGATGAACAGATGTCTCTCGGATCCTCTCTCGTGCCAATATTTCCTTCTCTTTGTCCTTACGAATAGAAATTGTCCCCCATTTTATACATCTGTTACAAATCTTGTTTTACAAATATCCGCCAGTCTAATCATGGCCTTAAGGCCCAATCTCATCCGGTCCACCAAACTAACTGACATATTTGATTTTTATATTTTTAAATAAAGATCTATTGATTAAAATATTCAGAATACTAAAAAACATCCCATACCCAACGCAATGCTTTTGTAGAGGAAAATTTGAACTCAGATATATACAAGATAATACATTATACGCCCACTCTAGCTAATGCAACAAATGGATGATAAGCCCTTCTTTTGAATGGTTCATATGAAAGAATTAGAGTTCAAACAAAATTGCAACGATTTGTAGCATCAGTTACCTATTTCACTTCCCTCTCAAACTATTTACATGATATTCGACAAATTTTACATTTCTATCATACCAAAAAAGAAGAATCAAAACCTCTTACAAAGAGTATGTACCTAACTTTCCACCGGGCGTTTCCCACGGACATCTTTATCCGGGGCTGCTGCTGAAGTGGTTCCGGTTGCAGTAAAGCTCGAATCTGAATAACGGGAATTTGATCCACCAGAAGTTCCGGCAGTAGTGGAAGAAACCCCTCCCCCTGCTGGTCGGCGAGATCTTCTGTATCTTGATCCAGGCACTCCGGGTCTCATTGGCTCTTCCAGATGGCTCGGTTTCTTGGATAGGATCACAATCACACGATCCATTGTGAGGCGGAATGTGGGATCACCTTGTATGCACAGCAGCCCCATCTGAATGCACATCGCTACTTGCTCGGAGACCGCTGATGAAGCTAACGTCGGGTCCATAATCTCCATGCTTCTCTCCTTCTTGTAAAGCTTGTACGCCTGCATCAGCAGTAGACAAATTTAGGATTAGCAGTAGAAAAAACTTTCAGCAAGAAATGTTCGACGACAAACAGCTGAGCAATCATCGCCCGCCACAGAATTTTCATACTTGGTTCAACAGATGATAGTTTGATCTACAATCTTACCCAATCAAGCAGATTCTGCGCATCAGCATTTGCGTTGAATGATGAATTCCTTTGGCCGCTGATCAGCTCCAAAACCAAAACACCGAAGCTAAACACGTCCGCCTTCACTGATAAATGCCCGTGCATAACATACTCGGGAGCCATATAACCGCTGTTTCAAGAAAATTAAAAAGGTTCATGTTAAAACCAAGTAAACAAGGCAGGTCCCGAGTACTTCAACCCCACACACTTACGAAATAAAACTTAGGGCACAAGACACCATACTTGGTACCAGCAACGCGGGTATTGACGTGCGTCTGATCCTCGGGAAATAGGCGAGCCATGCCGAAATCAGCAATCTTGGGGACCCATTTATCATCTAGTAGAATATTGCTGGCCTTGATGTCGCGGTGTATAATGCACTTATGCGAATGTTCATGAAGGTAAAGCAAGCCCTTTGCAACACCGCATATTATATCAAACCTCCGCTTCCAGTCAAGCTCCTCCCTTCTATTTGATTCTGCACCAACACCGTAAAAATCACTGTCAGTACGTAACGAAGTCTGTTGCCAGTCATTAAACCAGATGAAAGTAAAACGGGAGAGATAAGCATCACGTAATATATCTATTTTTGCCAGTTAGGTGTTAAAGTCATGGGGGTTGACCAAATGGTGCAGATTGTTCTCCGTTGTGAGCTGGCAAGGTTGTGTCACTACTTAGAAACTTCTGTTGGTTGCTTGGGCTGAAAGAATGTGGATAAAGTCAAGGTCTTAGGAGCCATCTCCTTCACCAGGTTTTGATGGAAACGTGAAAACTACAAAAATATTGATTCAAAGTAATCTTTAAGAATCGACGAATCATTAGGATTCAAAGAGCCTTCAAACTAGGCCTTCTGATTTTCCGCGATATATCTCAAGCTTGACCAAATTCCGAATACTATTTAGACAAACATATCAGGAAATATGATGGAGTTCGGGGTTCTATTATGTATGACCTTCAAGATCTAAAGCAAATTGATCCAAAATTATGAAATCCGGACAACTTTAAGTTTCTGCTAAATTCTGCTGATCAGCGTTTAACATCAAAATAAGAACAATGGAAAATGAGAAAATTATTAGTAGAACACTAAACATGGTTGCATTAGGCCTCGTTTAGCAGCTCGGACTGTACTGATTCTTAATGTCGGATAGGATAAATAGTCATCGGATAGTACTGGCTAAATTAGTCAGATGTTTGATGTAGTATCGGACTAATAACCGTATTATTTATACTGTGTTTGGTATTATATCGGATAGGAGAATCAAACTTAAAAAAAAAATTTAAAAAAAACTGAAATCATCTCTTTTGTTCCCCATATCTCTCCGCCGCACCCCCCAAATCCCTCCCTCTCTCCCTTCTTCTTCGTCTGCTCCCCTTAACCAAACCCCACCACAAAGGCAGCAACAAGAAACCCAGCAAAATGACGACACTGAAGTAGAAATTCCATGCTTTAGAGGGGAATCAGTGCAACCAAAAACCCATATGAAATAAAAACCCCAAATTTGAGTTTCTAATCCATTGAAATCAAAGACCCAGATGAAGGGGTGTATTCAATTGAGAATTTGAGAGATTTTAATGAATTTATAAATCCATGGATTTTTACGGAGTTTAACTGATTTGTAGAGATTTTATGTAAAATTTTGATTCAATTCCTTCGAAATCTCATGAGAAGAGGTGAGATTTGTGGATGCTTAAAATGCACTGCAAAATCTCTCTAATTCCCTCTAATTCCTCAACTTTTCCAAATTCTCTAAATTCTAATTCTAATTGAATACACCTAGAATGTTATAAACTTCTTTAAAATTCTAATTAAATACACTTGGATTTCTAAGGATTTTAATAAACTATCTTAAAATCCTAATTGAATACACATTGAATTTCAGAGAATCACTAAAAATTCTGATTGAATACCCCTAAATTCATTAAAAGAATTAAAATCCCTCAAAATCTCAATTGAATACTCACCCAGCTTTGAGCTTACCCACCACACATCAACAAAATCAGGGAACAATTAAGCTAAAAACTCAGAAAATGTCTCCAGAATAGGATCGGCGGGACCTGGGTTTGATCTGCCACCTCTGGATTTCATTCGAAATCTTCTTGATGCTGATCGAAGGTGGGGATGGAGAAAGAGGGAGAGAAATGTGTTCGCGATCTACATAGCAGATGGCGAATGGGTTGGAGAAGAGCGGTCGTGCTTTCATTTTAGGCGTGAACGGTGAACTTGACTAAATAATACCAAGGTTTTGCTTGGGATAAATAAGCAAGCGAATGGGGTATTAAATAGGCAGGGCTAGACTAATAATCCGATGCTTATTTAGTACGAGACTCACCAAACACTTGTTTCGTATTATATAGTACTATCCGATGTCTTATACCCTGTGCCAAACGAGGCCTTATCTGTTGTAATTGATGCAGTTGCCAAATAATAATTGATAGTAAAGTATAGAAGGATTTATGAGTGCTTACTGAAGAGAAATTTGTCGAGGCTCTCGTTTAAGACATACTCGTAAACGAGTAGTTTCTCTACCCCGTGTGCACAATAGCCCAACAAATTCACAACATTACGGTGCTGCACACGAGCTAGCAACTTGGCCTCGTTCATGAACTCTTTCTTTCCTTGATTTGAACTTTGTGACAACTTCTTCACCGCAATTTCTCTTCCATCCTCCAACTTTCCCTGAGAAAGACGCACCACACAAGCGGTAAGACACATGAATTGCCCCGTTTACTTTGTCCCTTGAGAATTTAAGGATCTAGTTAACAAGGCGAAAGCTCGGTGGTATGTCTGCTCGTAAGATACATGTTATCAGGGAGACAAATGCGCAAAAATGTTATAGTTTAGAACATTACATAACACTACAGTGGCAGTGAAGTCATCTGTGACTTCACCTTTGGTGTAACTTCCTAAATGAAACGAAAGACATACATGTTCGCTACTCGAGCGAATCGGGATAACATTCATCCGTGATATTGTCAATATAATCCTTTCCATTTTTCGTAAAGATACCCTAATTCCTTAGCACCCAAGAAACCAGCGGATTAAACGAAAGTAGCAGCTGGTGGTGGTGCATACAAGTGCATGATTAAGCCGAAAACTAATCTAAATATGTGTTTCTTATTAACTAATAACCATCATCATTAACTAAATAAGCTAAGGAACAATCTTCTAAACACTATTTGCAACAATTATAAAGGATGCGAGACATTCCATCATTTTTCCCAAATATTTTGTACGGAACAAAAGGATAATAATTTATTTGGAGACTTTGGATGCGGTCCTTAGTTATGAATATTCTTTGATTGAAACCTTGTTGTTTTTTAATTTTTTATCTAGAACTCTGAAAATAATGTGATAATTTATTTCTATGTACGTTACTATATTTTTTAAATTAAAAATTAAAAATTTTTGTTGTTCATATAAATGAGATTTTAAATAAATAAAAAACATAATTTGTGGGATTAAAAATATTAAAATATAAATATACTATTGTGTGTGTGTGTGTGTATATATACATGGGTACATTCATCAAAATTAACCAAAAAATTTATTGTATCAAAACATGGGTACATTCTTCAAAAATCACAAAAAAAAAAAAAGAAAGATATTACGCTTAATAATATTAGTAAATTTTCTTCGATTAAACTTGACATGGATATTTTAAAATCAAAGAAAAAAGAATGTACCCATATAAATTTAAAAATGGATTAGAAAAAAATTGAATAGATTTTATATAAAAAAAACGTACATTTTACATACAACAAATTGGTATATTTAAGAATGAGTACATTTTAAAATTAAAAAGTTTTACATGAATGGGTACATATAATTAGCATGGGTATATTTAGCAAAATAAAAAATACAAATAAAAAAAATATATGCATACAAATACAAATAAACTTTAAAAAATATGGGCACAAAAATAAATTAATATATAGGTAAAAATTAAAATTGAAAAGAAAATTGGTACAAGTTAAAAAAGAATTACAAATTAAAAATGGGTACAAACTAAAACTAAAAATATATGATAAAAAATTTACTCATAAATATAAATATACGAATTATAACATTTTTAACATTAAATGAATATATTTAGAAATAAAAAAATATTTTATTATTGAAATAATTAATAATGTTATTAATACCCAAGAACTTGATCAAAAATTAAAATGGAATATGATTTTAATTAATGATGAAAAGCTAAATTCTCCTAATTTATTTCACTAAATAATTTGTATCATTAATTAAAAATCATAAAATCACTAGAGAGACGAGTTTTGGGAGTTCAGTAGAAGAAAAAAAATGTGAGCTTGAAAAAACTTCTCTCCCAAAATTTTCTTGGCAACCAAACAGATAAGTCAAACGAAAAACATAAGTAATTTAGTACCTTAAAAACGGGTCCGAAACCGCCTTCGCCGAGCTTATGACTGGGGTGGAAATTTTTCGTAGCGGCAGCCAAAGTTTCGAATGGGAAATGCTTCTGTTCCTGCTGAGCAATCTTCTCCAAGTCCTCTTCGTTCTGTCCGTCTGATCAAACAAAAAATCAGAGGGAAAAAAGATCAATCATCTGATACAAGTAGAAGACGACCAAAATGCACAAAACTGCAAACTGGGTTTTTGAAATTCACGAAATTGCAAACTGGGTTTCGATTTCTACCTTTGCTGGGGGCGAACCCAAAAGTTTTGAAGAGATTGTTGAGGAAATTCTTGGACTTGGTCATGGTTTTCTGTGACATTTAGAACAGCCCAAGCCCCTAAATGAACACAGAAGAAGGAGGAGAGCAGAGAGAGATTTTCAGGTGGGGCGTGGCGAATTTCGTTTCCAGCGGAAAATTGCAAACCGTGGGATTTGGTGGTGTTGGATAATGATTTTTATGACTTTAAGAAACGAACCAAACAGAGTTTGGGAAGAAGAGTAGTTTATAGAACGTGTTGACTTAGATGAAAACCCGCATGTTGACCAGTAGTGGATTATTATTATTATTATTATTTTGTCTTGTTTTACTGGAAAATACAAGAAGTCAAAAGTGTATGCGGTTAAATAAACGACTGTTTCATTCATGTGACGGAACTGGGAACTGAACTGACCAACCAAATTTAGGAAGAAAAATGTTAACGGAGCTTTTTTTTACATTATTATTATTATTTTTTATTTACAAAAATTTTCATATAACTTCTATTTTTTCCTATAACTTCTATTTCACAAATTTGTTTCATATTTTTTTTTTAAATTCCATTTTTTTCTTGTAACTTCTATTTCACAAAATTTGTTTCATATTTTTTTTAAATTCCATTTTTTCTATAACTTCTATTTCACAAAATGATGTCAGCTACCAACGACTAGCTGACGTCACTTAGCTGTTGGATTTGAATTTAAGTTATAGTTTTTAAATAATAAATTATGTTTGGCCCTATGGCCCTTTGGCCTTCGGTTGGAGACGGTTTTTTTGTGAAACGGCTAAAACGAGCCCTCTGGCCCTCGGTTGGAGACGGAGGCAAATATGGTCATGTACTATTCATTAAAATATTAATATCTTGGAGAATCTTGGAGGGCCAGATGGCTAAAACAAGCCATCTGGCTAGCCATCGGTTGGAGATGACCTTAATACGTTCTTTATCGTCTCATATTTTCGACACAAAATTTTATAACATTAATACATGAATTAACGTTGAACTATGAGATGACAAAGAGTCTAAAAAAAGTTCCACTTTTGAAAGAGTTTCCTAAACATTTTTTTTACCAAGTGGCAAGTAAATAACTTCAGGCCATCTCCAACCGAAGGGTCCAGAGGGCTGAAAATAGCCCTAAAACCGTCTCCAACCGAGGGCTAGGCCAGAGGGCTCTGGAATCTGGGAGGGCCCCACGGGATCGGAGAGGGCTGGAGGGCTGGAGGGCTGGCTTATTTTTTTTTTAATGTTTTCTATTGCTGTCGGTTAAAACCGACAGCATTAAACAGGTTTTTTTTTTTTTAATAATTCTACTATTAGTGTCGGTTATAACCGACACTAATAATTTGAATGTTTTTTAATACAACGGCTAGTAGCCGTTGTATTATTAGGCCTTTTTTTTTTTTTTAAACTTTTTTTTTCCCTTTTTTTTTTCCCTTTTCATATTAATCAAATTTTGTTTCATATTTTTTTTCAATTCTATTTTACAAAATTTGTTTCAATTTTTTTTTAAATTCTATTTTTTTCCTATAACTTCTATTTTACAAAATTTGATTCATATTTTATTTCCTATAACTTCTATTTCACAAAATTTGTTTCATAATTTTTTTCAATTCTATTTTTTTCCTAGGCCATTTATACAACATTATTAAATTAAGTAACATGAAACAACATTAAACAATATGAAATAACATTAAATAACATTAACCAACATACAAATTATACAACATAAAAAAACATTTAACAACATGAAACTTAAACAACATTTTTAAAAACATTTAACAACATAAAACTTAAAAGCCTACTTCATGCTTCTTTTGGCCCAAAGATGTGCAACAAGATCCTGTTGTAGGTACGTATTTGTGGCACGAGAACGTATCATTCTATAGCACCTCATATACTCATTTATAGAGATATTACCAGTTCTTGGATTGAAAGGCAAATTAGGCCCATCATATATTTTTGCTAGAGCCCTTCTTGACCTATTTGGATCTTCTTGGTCATTATCGGACTCTCCATCAATATACCCATCTCGCTCATCCTCCACTATCATATTGTGTAATATGATGCAAGACATCATCATGATGGAGTTCAAATTTTCTCGACTCCACCCTCTTGCCGATTCGCTGATAATCTTCCACCGTGCTTGTAGAATACCAAAAGCTCTCTCAACATCTTTCCGGTATGCCTCTTGGTGTAAGGTAAACAACTTTTCTGCATCATTCCTAGGGTTTGGAATTGCTTGGACAAGTGTTGCCCACTTTGGGTAGATGCCATCTGCCAAGTAATACCCCATATTGTATTCACGGCCGTTGATGTAGTAGTCAAGTTGAGGTGCTTTACCTTCCGTCAAGTTATTGAAGAGGGGTGAACGCCCAAGAACTGTAATGTCATTTTGGGATCCAGAGACTCCAAAGAAAGCATGACAGATCCATGTGTCATATGAGACAACTGCCTCTAACACAACAGTTGGCTTTCTCGACCTTCCGCTAAAGCTTCCTTGCCATCCAGTGGGACAGTTCTTCCACTCCCAATGCATGCAGTCTAATGACCCTATCATGCCCAGAAACCCACGGTCTTCAGCTTTGTAAAGGAGCCGATTCAGATCTTCTTGATTTGGCTCTCGGAGGTACTCGTCTTTGTAAACCTGAACAATTGTGTTACAAAATTCTTCAAGAGTATCAAGGCATGTAGACTCAGACATACCATGGGTTTCATCCATCGAATCAGCTGAGGAGCCATATGCCATCATTCGGAATGCAACAGTAACCTTCTGATGAGGTGAGAAACCAGGGCGGCCTGCTCTGTCCCGCTTATGTCGAAAGTATGGATTGACATGTTGGACATCACGAAGTAAACGCTCGAAGACATGACGCATCATCCGGAAGCGACGTCTGAAATCCTCTTCTGTGTACACCGAGTCGGGGTTGAAGTAGTTGTTCATCAGATTGGCATGCGCCATCGCTCTGTTTCGTGGTTTGTAAGAGTGACCAGCAACAGAGCCACCCCATTGAGGTTGTTCCTCAGTTGGCTGACACACCATGGCCGCAGCCATGGCTGCTGCCATGTTTTGTGTGTTGCGCCTTACTTCAGCTTCTTCATCAGACTCCTCATCTTCTCGTCTCATTTGCGCCCATTTTGCTTCCAATTTGGAATTGGATGAGGACCCCCAATTGGAATTGGATGAAGATCCAAAGTTGGAATTCATTGCAAACTTGAATTGAAAGAGATTGAATTGCAAAAGATTGAATTGAAATAGATTGAATTTAAAGTTGTGTGAATTATAGCCTAATATCCACCCTATTTATAGCAAAAAAAATTCAAATCCAACGGCTAGCTGACGTCAGCATGATGTCAGCTACCAACGGCTAGCTGACATCATGTTGACGTCACCTAGCCGTTAGATTTGAATTTAAATTGTAGTTTTTAAATAATAAATTATGTTTGGCCCTATGGCCCTTTGGCCCTCGGTTGGAGACGGTTTTTTGTGACAGGGCTAAAACGAGCCCTCTGGCCCTCGGTTGGAGACGGAGGCAAATATGGCCCTGTACTGTTCATTAAAATATTAATATCTTGGAGAATCTTGGAGGGCCAGAGGGCTAAAACGAGCCCTCTGGCCAGCCATCGGTTGGAGATGGCCTCACATTTGAACATAAAAATGATGTCACAAAATGATGTCAGCTACCAACGACTAGCTGACGTCACTTAGTTGTTGGATTTGAATTTAAGTTGTAGTTTTTAAATAATAAATTATGTTTGGCCCTATGGCCCTTTGGCCTTCGGTTGGAGACGGTTTTTTGTGAAATGGCTAAAACGAGCCCTCTGGCCCTCGGTTGGAGATGGAGGCAAATATGGTCATGTACTATTCATTAAAATATTAATATCTTGGAGAATCTTGGAGGGTCAGAGGGCTAAAACGAGCCATCTGGCTAGCCATCGGTTGGAGATGACCTTAATACGTTCTTTATCGTCTCATATTTTTGACACAAAATTTTATAACATTAATACATGAATTAACGTTGAACTATGAGATGACAAAGAGTCTAAAAAAAGTTCCACTTTTGAAAGAGTTTCCTAAACATTTTTTTTACCAAGTGGCAAGTAAATAACTTCACATTTGAACATAAAAATGATGTCACAAAATGATGTCAGCTACCAACGACTAGCTGACGTCACTTAGCTGTTGGATTTGAATTTAAGTTGTAGTTTTTAAATAATAAATTATGTTTGGCCCTATGGCCCTTTGGCCTTCGGTTGGAGACGGTTTTTTGTGAAAGGGCTAAAACGAGCCCTCTGGCTCTCGGTTGGAGACGGAGGCAAATATGGTCATGTACTATTCATTAAAATATTAATATCTTGGAGAATCTTGGAGGGTCAGAGGGCTAAAACGAGCCATCTGGCTAACCATCGGTTGGAGATGACCTTAATACGTTCTTTATCGTCTCATATTTTCGACACAAAATTTTATAACATTAATACATGAATTAACGTTGAACTATGAGATGACAAAGAGTCTAAAAAAAGTTCCACTTTTGAAAGAGTTTCCTAAACATTTTTTTTACCAAGTGGCAAGTAAATAACTTCGCATTTGAACATAAAAATGATGTCACAAAATGATGTCAGCTACCAACGACTAGCTGACGTCACTTAGCTGTTGGATTTGAATTTAAGTTGTAGTTTTTAAATAATAAATTATGTTTGGCCCTATGGCCCTTTGGCCTTCGGTTGGAGACGGTTTTTTGTGAAAGGGCTAAAACGAGCCATCTGGCCCTCGGTTGGAGACGGAGGCAAATATGGTCATGTACTATTCATTAAAATATTAATATCTTGGAGAATCTTGGAGGGCCAGAGGGCTAAAACGAGCCATCTGGCTAGCCATCGGTTGGAGATGACCTTAATACGTTCTTTATCGTCTCATATTTTCGACACAAAATTTTATAACATTAATACATGAATTAACGTTGAACTATGAGATGACAAAGAGTCTAAAAAAAGTTCCACTTTTGAAAGAGTTTCCTAAACATTTTTTTTACCAAGTGGCAAGTAAATAACTTCACATTTGAACATAAAAATGATGTCACAAAATGATGTCAGCTACCAACGACTAGCTGACGTCACTTAGCTATTGGATTTGAATTTAAGTTGTAGTTTTTAAATAATAAATTATGTTTGGCCCTATGGCCCTTTGGCCTTCGGTTGGAGACTGTTTTTTGTGAAATGGCTAAAAC